GCTTGATTTTTTATTGACCTGCATTTCATCCATTTACTGCTACTAAGTTAGCCTACCCTATATTATTAAGTAAGTTTGCTAATTTCTAATTCTACTTTATAGTAATCTTTTTATCAAACTATTCTAGGGCTCTTTTTCACATACAGCCTCTTAAATATCCTATTATCTGATCTATTCCTGTTACTAGAACTTTTACATTATCTGCTGGATTTACACCTTGGTTTTGCAAGTATAATATAAGTTTTGCAAGAAAATCAGGGATATTATTACCCCAGTCAAAAAATGGTTTTGGTATTCTTACCATGTTTATTTGATTTAGTGAATTATTCTGTAATGCTAAAATTTGTCCCTGCAAATTTAAAATATTCTGGTGAGAATTTTTTTTTTAGCCTTCTATTTCTCATATCGCTTATAGAGCCTATTTTAATTATATTCTAATAAACTTATATTCCTTCTACTTCACTATAAATGGTAGGAATTTCGTTAATACAATAATCGTAAGGCAAATTTTTCTTATATTAACTCACCTATACAGGTTTATTTTCTTATTATATTACCTAATCATTTTATTTACCTGGTTTTGAATATTAGTTTGATATTACTGAAGATCACTAATAATTCTTGCTTCTACTCTTTCAAAAAGTTGTCTTCGTATAATTTCATTATCACGCTCAATCTCTGCATTATAACACCTTCATTGAGTATAGACTAAATCCTGATGCAAATTATTATCTTTTTAGCGTATCTGCCTTATCACTCTTTTTATTTAATCTATTAGAATATCTTTGGCTGTTATTTTATTTTTCATATAGCTGTCTATAGCATTTGCTAGTTTAGTAATTGTGGCTATATTATCATTAGAATTATACAAGTCTAGAGAATTCTCTCATTTAGATGAATTTTTTTGTGATAAAATGATACTGATCAAGTATTGCAATTTCTCAACTTGCTCTTCAAATTCCACCAACTGTTTTTTTAAACTAAAGATAATTTTTTCCTTATTTTATACATCCTTTTTAGCTTGATATAACTGATTTTTTAGGATAAAAATTTCAGATTTTAACTCTACTATCTTCTCTTCTAAAGTATTTTCAAGACGTTCTATTTCACTATTAAGATTTTGAATTTCTTGCTCAGATTAGGCATAATCCCATTCCAGTTGATTAATTCATCTCTCATTCTGATGATTAGTATCAACTTCTATCTGTAATTCACTACAAATATGATAGTTCTCTTCAGTGTGTAAAATTCATGTGCACAATGTGCACATGTGCACATTAAATTTTTATGTGCACATATTACACAGCATAAAATGTGCACAAATAATTACTAAAAATAGATAAATTATATATAAAAATGGATAAATTATTTATAAAAATGGAAATACTATGTAATACATGCATTAATTTTCTATTTTTAGTACAACTTGTGCACATAACTTTTGGTCCAAATTTTATACACTGGTTCTCTTCCTCTAGCTTAGCTTTATATTCTTTACATGTTCTTCTCTGCCTTGGGTGAGGTCTGTAAAATGATATTTTTTTCATAATTATAAAAGAAAATGGAAGAACCTTTGATTTATATTAATCCTTAAAAAGTGCGTGATCTTGACCAGGATCTTACTTTATAAAAATACAAGAAAAAAAGTATTCTGGCTAATAAATAAAATCTGACTTCATAGATACTAGCTCTTTTTCTGCTTCTTATACCTGCATCTTGAGATCCTCGTTCTCAGTAATTTTTTATTCACATTAATCTGCTCCTTATATTTTTCTTTCACATCTCGTATGAATTTCTCAAAAGTTTTTTTATTATAATTGAACAAGTGCTGACAGAATACTCTAAGTTGATTTATGACTTGATAACTATTCTCTTCTTCATGATCACAAGTAATATTATCAGTTTGAGACCTATTATCTGTAATATATATAGTTGATATATCTTTGAAAGATAATAATATCTGACACTCTAGTCAATTTTAAGTTTGTCTCTGACGTATTAATCTCTTTTGGTATCTAATAGTTTCATGTTTACTAGCTTCTTTTTCAAATAATAGATTACACTTCTATAATGTAAGACATATCTATACTTCATTTAATAGGAAAGTTAGTAATTTTGCTAGCAAGTCAGAATATATCTGGTTAAATGTCATTATATATTTATACATTGCACAAAAAAATGAAATTTTATAAAATTTCAAAAATAGACCGCTTTATTGTATTAGTATCATAACATTAAAAGCTTTTAGAAGTTTACACATTAATATTATGAGAAATCTGCTAGAGATCTGCTAAAAAACTCTGATCAAAAATGCATGATACCCGATCATTGATCAACAAGAAAAAAACATTCTGGCAGAGATGCTTCAGCTGAAATTTCGCTAAATTAATACATTATCATATTTTTTGTAATACAGATAACAAGTTTTTTATTAATTCATTTTGTGATTACTTATTTTCTAATTTTGTAACTCTAGCTTTAAGCTCAAAATTTTTGGCCATAATTTTATCATTCTCGACCTCAAGCTTGATAATGCATCATTTTAATGAATTGATCTTACTAGAACCATCTATTTCAGATTGCATACTTGTATAATGTAGTATTATTTATGCTTTATATATTAATATTCAAAAGTAAAAATAATATAATTTTCTTTCACAGCCCGTAAGCAAAATTTGCCAAAAAATTCACGTGATTTCAGTGACCTCAGTTTGCTTAAATCTTGCTAAGAAAAATACAGATGAATATATAAAAATAATCAGCCACCAGGGCACTTTATTGATATAGAAAAAGTAAAATACAAATTTACTATATACACATAACTTATTCAGAATCTACATTCAAACTGTTTTTGTTTCTCTTAGACTTAATTGGAAGTACGTTAAGTAGTAAAGATATATTTACTATTAGAATATTCTATAAAATTAGTAAAGTTCTTACAAAATTTATTATAATAGATGGATCTGATTATTATACAGAAATTTCTGTTTTGTAAAATAGTATTTTATCATCTTTTTTTTTCTGTGAAATATAGGATAAGCGTAAACTTTTAACATATATAAGCTTATATTTTTTTTCATTATACTTCATCATAAACATGATATTAGGCCATCTTCCTGCTTACCTTTCGCCTTTCCTATTTGCACTAGCCAAACTTTAATGTTCAGTACTAAAAGATAATAATATTAATATTAGTTTAGGTTTTTTAACTTGATGCTCATAATACAATTTTTTCTAATTATATTATTATTCACCTGCTGACATAAGATGACCTTTCTAAAGGAAAACTTTTTAATGTGACCTGAATAGCAGAAACTATTACGTTAGTCATATAAGTACCTTTATTTTGTGATTTCGCAAACTCAGAGCTAAAAGCAGAATTATTTTATAAATTATTTAGAGAATTTAAAATTTTTGATGTGATATCTGTAAGCTTTTTTCATTCTCCGTTATGCGAAAGTTTTTGTGGTAAAATACTCATATTACTCTCTGCAAAGTTAACTACAAATTCTTCACATTTTTCTCATATAATTTGTGAAAGTGATGAAGGAACTATATTCTTTACTAGTTTCTAAAATAGTATAATAATAAATTAAAATGATATTTAACGCTAAATAAAAAATATAAGATTGTATATAAAAAAGAATTTTACCATAAAAAATTCTCTTAGCCATTCTGGTAATTTCTGTATCAGATCTGAATCATCGCTAATACTTGGTTAGCTAGAGGATTTTTTTAAGTTAAGTCAAAAATAGATACTTTATTTACACCTAAAAACAAATGCTGGTAAAGCTGTGACTTATTTTTTCTGAGTTTACCCTTCAGTGCTTTGATATTATTTTGATTTTATCTGAAATAAGAGGCTTTTTTTCATTTGTTTTTACCGTGTTGATATTATGTAAATTACAGATTATTTTAAAATCAATTTTAAATTAATGCAGACATATAAATAAATAGTCTAAGCATATATGTTAAAAAAATATCAAAAGTGCATATGCAATCAGATTAAAATAAAGCCTTATTCTCATATAGTTAGCTACCCTAATACTTAAATAAAAACTTTATGTAATACTGAAATAATTATATTAAATTAAGCATATAGTTATGGCTTAACTACCTTCTATACTGTTGAGAAAAAATCCTGTGAGCAGACTAATAAGATATTTAGTCTATTATGCTCTCTCTTTCAGAATGATATCACTGTCTGTATTATTCATCACTCAAATAAATTCTAGTCAGTAGTTCAAAGTTTGATATCTTATCTCTGGTAAAATTTGAGAAGAGTAGTATGACGTAAAAAACTTTGTTCATATTAATTTTTCATAAATGCCACAGTCCATTAATAATACTTTTTAGCTTATTTTAAGTTATTTAGGGATTTTCTTCAATTTCTTGGTAAATAACAGACCCAGCGGTAATATTCTCTTCCTCAGTATTTAACAAGATATTATAAATTTTAGTGTATATATTGGTAGGCATAGCTAAAATAAAAGAATTTACAAGGCGTAAAAATACTCAACTCTAATATACTATCCAGCTATTTTAAATCTCCATCTATGTTTTCATTAACTCATATTCATGTTGGAGGAGAAAAAGGAGAATATGCAAGGTATTTTATACTAAAATTTTGTGTTCGAGAATAAAGGTATGTGAAATGTGCATTAAAGATCTCAACATTATATCATATATATTTTAATGAGAATCAAAAATGTGTTAATTTATATTATATACGCCTATATGCATTAACTTTAAAGCACTTCGCATGGTTAAATAATATATTATTTTATTAATACAATATTCAAGATCTGAGTTAAGGTAAGACTTTAAAAACTCTTAAGATAAATCATATGTCAAATAAATTTTTTTTATATGATCATTATACAAATTTTTTATTAAGATACTGACACAAATTTAAATTATAACATATTAAAATCAATAAAATAATACAAATATAACCTATAACATTAATTTTATTAAATTTAAATTTATTATATTTATAATTAAAATTTGGCTATAACATCATGAACTTTAATATTATTAAGATTTGAAAATATAGTTTTAACTATTTCTTTTAAAAAAAGAATATTTTCTTCTAATTGCATATTAGTTATTTCAATAATAAATAATATGTTTTGGATTACAATATAAAAAAAGAAAAAAATTATTACCAAATTCATTTGTTATAAAATCTGTAAAAATATGACCTTGAATATGTGTATATACTTGTAAAGATACATATGACAATTCTTGAATATTGGTTACAGGTTGAATTATATAAGAATGAAATCTATCTTTTTGTTTATACATTACGATTATTTTTGCTATATGTAATTAAATACTAAAAATAATAATAACAAATAAATTAATAATAAGAAAAAATAAAGGAGTTATATTTGCAATTACTAATTGATCTAAAAGTATAAAAAATTATTAGTAATAAAAAATTATTAAATTAATAATATAATAAATAAATACCTGAACATTCTGAAAATTTTTCTATTTGAACACAAATTTTTAACTGATTTTTTTAACGATCTTGCCTTTTTTATTATTTATGCGTTTGAATAATTATTTCATTATTATTAATCAAATAAGCACATATATTACTTGCAATATTTAATTGAATTAAAGTATTTTCTGCTTCAACATTTGTTTGATAAAATCATTGCCATTATAAAACTTTACGCGTAAGCTTTATGTATCATTCGTTTATTAATCATTGCTTGTAAATTTAATTTACCAGTTGATAATTTATAACTATAAATAGTAAAATTTGTATCTATTTAATATAATAAATATAATATAAATATAAATATAAATATAAAAAATAAAACAATAAAATTTTAAAATTTATACCATGATTGCTATTATATAAATACTTTTTTTGTAAAGCTGTTAATTGAACTTTATAATTGGATAATACATCAATTTCTTATAAATTATTAGGTATTGTAACAATTACTTTACTTGCTATAGATAAAGCTACTGACAATTCTAATTCTTCATCTTGAATATTATCTTGAATAACTTTGTCATTAATGCCATTAAATATAGTATTATTATCGTCATATACATTTGGTAAACCATTTTTACTAAAATAATACATTACAGATTCTGGTCTTCTTTTTATAGCCAATATATTAGCAAGTTCAGATGCTTGATGAAAATCACATTTAATTGCATTTTTTATATCAGAATCGGTTGACCAAAAACAGAATATTTTAAGAGTTTTTTGATTAAGATTTTCATTAATATTAAATTAATAACCTACAATGTAAATATTTTTAATAAATATTAACAATTAATAATAATATGTATAAATACAATAAACATTACCTTCATGTACAGTTTTTTCTTTATCTAAAGTAATACCTCCCACTTTAATTGACTTGATATAATGAGTAATTTTCAGAATAAGATTTATAATATCTTCAAATTAAAATCATTATGTAATTGTCTTGCAACTCCAAAAAAATGTTCACATGATTCTGTATCATGTTTCCAAGGTAAAAAAGGAAAGGTTGAATAAAATTCACAATATATTTTAATCAAGAGTAAAAAGGATTCTGCTAAACTCGTAAAAATATCAAAACTTTGTGAAGCTAAAAAATTATATGCCAAAGATATATAATTAGGATATAATTGAGAAGTGATTTCAATATAAAAACACTATATATAAAGAAAAAATAAGCCTTCATTGCCATTTTAATTCTTTTAAAATGAGAAATTTCATGATTAAAGTAGCTATCTTACAATTCACCTATTTATAATAAAAGTTATATATTAATTACTTAATATATAAGTATTAAAAAAATAAATAATAAAAATAACTTATCTATAATAAATAGATATACAAATAATCCCTTATTATCATTAGACAATTGTCTATTATCTAAAAGTTATTCTAAATTCTGAGTACAAAATATATGATAAGCTGTATCATCATCTTACCGATCAAGTTTAATTACATCTCTTCTATATAAGATACTTTCTGGTTGCTAATATAAATTAAACAATTATCCATAATGTACTGTTGAATCTCTGAAATTTAACAGTCTTGCACCAGATATGCAAATATTACGTGCTATTTTTTTTCCATAATTCAGATCTTATACACAGACAACTGGCCTAACACTTGGAAAAATAGGACAGTTAAAATTAATTCCATATTCTTTATAACAGACTGAAAGTCGATCCAATATACAAGACTTTTGAACTACCGTTTAAGCTTAAAATTCAACCGATGCCCCATCAGAACCAATGGATATTATGTGAAGATTTAACTATGAAGTAATTTTAGTAAAAAGTTTAAGATGAAGTATGAAAATAGTATTTGTTTTTTCAGAACTAGTATGTGAAATTAAAGCGATTACTACTAGGGGAAACTTTGGAAATAGAATTTAAATAATAATTTTTTATATAATAGTTAAAATTGTAATTAATTAAAAAATAAATATTATAGAAAATATTTACCTGTAGCAAATAAGCTCTAACGTCTTTGCAATAGCCTTTTTTTCTTTTATATTATTAATAATTATTAAAATGTTATCATAATTATTTACCTGGGTTTCTTCAAATTATAATAAGAAACTAATAATACAGTCAAATTGTGCAGAATACTGAAGACCAGGTTTCAGTTTGGTATTATCTGTCATTGCAACTATCAAACTATCATATTTAAATGTATCTAAGAATTGTTTAAAACGTGCAACATTCTCATAATACATATTTAGATCTACTAATTTCTCTTCAGAATTATTTCAGAGATATCTAAATAAAGCACATATTGAAATTAATAAATGCTTCAAATATATACAACAGTTAATAAAACATCTATACCTGATACTTCGTAAAGACAACTCTTCAAGATTTTATCAAAAAAGATCTAGAGATTTTGAAAATATACAGTAGCGGTCATAAGTATCCGACCGCCTCTAACTCCGGCTACAAGTAAGTAAATTCAAAATTTTTTTTTTTATT